ACCAGGGTGTCTTCATTTTTGGGGAAGAGTTTGAGAAGGCTAGATACCAAATCTAATTAGAATACTTGGTAGAATTCACTAGTGAAGCCATCTGGTCCTGCACGTTTATTTTTGGGAGAGTTTTGAGGGTTTTTTCAATTTCCTAAGTGTTGATCTGTCTATTTAGATTTTCCCCTTCTTCATGATTAAGTCTAGGAAGGTTATATATTTCTAGGAACTTATCCTTCTTTTCTAGGTTATTGAATTAATTTGGTGGCATATAGTCTTTGATAGCATTCTAGTATGATCCTTTATATTTCTGTGTTGTCTGTGGTAACTTCTCTTTCATTTCTTATTTTGTTATGAGTCTTTCCTCTTTTTTCCTCAGTGAGTCTAGTCAGGGGTTTGTCAATTTTATTAATCTTAGCAAAGAACCAGCTCTTTGTTGTATTAAGGTTTTGTATAGTCTTTTTGTGTTCTATTTCATTCAGTCTACTCTAATTTTTATTACTTCCTTTCTTCTGCTGACTTTGGGCTGCTCTTGCTCTTCTTTTTCTAGTTCTGTAAAATGAAATGTTAAATTTAAGATTTTTAAGTAAAGTAAAAATTAAAGTAAAGATTACTTTAGGTTTTTCTTGTTTCTTTTCATTTTATTAATGATATATCTGTTTGAATACAAGGCCTGTGCCTTTAACTATCTATTATATTGTCTCACATAATGTCATAAAAAGTACTTAACTTTATACTTGATAGGCTTTGATGACTATACTGAAATCATTTTATTGGGTCTGTGTCATACAGTCTCAGCTTGACTCTTTCTAGGAACAGGAAACTCACTCCATCTTCAAGTAGCTCTTTTCCTCACATGACAGCCTCTGTTGTTACAGTTTTCTCATGGGGAGCTGAAGAGTATGTTTTCTGGTTATGCCCATAATGTTTGATTTTCAAGATTTAAATGGAACAGGTCAGTTATCTCTTCTCTATGAAAGCAAGTTTTCTTTTGTATTTTCTTTGCCAAGTTTAACACTCTTAATTTTTTCAGCTATTTTTTAAAAATAAAATGATTTGTCATCTTGTTACTTTTGTTTGGATACTATCTAGATGATTAGTATCCTGCTGAGACTGTTACAGCTGGAAATAAATATAATACAACAAGTAGGATACTAAAACAAAAATAATGATAGTTACCTTTTATAGAACTCTTATTAAGTAGCATGCACAGTGCTAAGTTTTATATGTCTCTTTATAATAACAGTAGTTGAAAAAATTGAGGCTTACAGAAATGCTTTTGTCTATCACTTCTGCAACTAATAGATACACAGCAAATCAGAATTTGAAATGAGGTCTGCTCAACTCCAACTCTTCACTCTGCTGCCATGGCTGGCATGGAAAGCAGTGTGGCTATGTTACCTCGTGCATTCTGGATGTTCTGGTTCTATTAATTTAGTCTTAGACTGCATTAATCTTTTTGGTAACTATCATATTTGGCAGCATATCACTAGCTTGTATTAATTTTCTATTTAACTAAAATCTATAAATTTTAATAAGATCTTTAATATTTGAGCTTCTATCTGGTCTGTCCTTTCCATATTATTTTATGTAATTAATATTCAGTATAATGCAGGATTTTGTGTTCATGTCTTTACTTACATGTTGGGGATTTCATCCTAAGTTTCTAGGCTGCCAAGATAATTTCACATTTTGAATCTATCATGTATGATGCTAATTCTTCTTCCAGATATATGACCATGTGCATCTTTTTATTTTTTTAATCTTTCTGGAGGTATTTTTTTTCATTGCTTTTATAAGAGAGGAAGGGAAAGAGGAAGAGAGAGAGCAGGGAGAGAGAGAAACATTGAAGCGAGAGGGAAGCATTGATCAGTTGCCTCCTGTATGTGTCTGGAAGGGGGATTGTACTTTGGACTGGAGATTGAACCCTCAACCTAGAAATGTGCCCTGATTGGGAATTGAATCTGCAACCTTTTGGTTATGGGGTGATGCCCCAAACAACTGAGCCACATGGCCATGGTCATGTGCATCTTTGATAAGTATTCTTGCTTTGTGTTTAGCCTTTGATACAATGCCAAACAAGGATGAATTAAAAATCCATATAACATAACTATTTTTTTCCCCAAACATTGTTGAAATGTACTTTTTTAAAGTCTAGGACATATGTTTGGCCATGCACATGGTTTTCTTTTCTTAGTATTATTAATATTAAGATAATATGGGAACTTTATTTTCAAGGTTCTGGTTGAACATGTTGAGGATGTCAGGCTTCCTCTCCCTTCTAACAATAAACTTATTAGATAGGAAATAAAGGGTTTCTTAGGTGTTCTGTTCTTTGAATTAGACCTCTATCAGAAGATATCAAGGTAATTTAAGCTCCACTTTTTTTTTAGAACAAATTTTGTAATGTTTTCCGGGGAAGTATCCATATTTGTTTTCTGGGGAATATCTATATTTCTTTTCTGGATAGACTATAGTATGCCACTGTAGTAGTATAATTAGATTTTTCTTTTTAGTTCCTTACTTTTATTTTTTAATGTACCTTACTATTAAGTTTATGAATTTTTATATGGGAGTAACTTCTGGAAAGATCACTGGACTTGGCTTTGAAAATTCCTGGATTTGGGGACTGACCATGGTTTGTGAACTTGAGCAAGTCACTTTGGCTTTGTGGACCTCAGTTTCCTCATATATACAGTAGGGATAATCATATTATTCCTTATCACTTAAGATTACAAGAACAGGTTATGATTTCAAAAATAAGTAATTGACTATTATGGTTTATTCAAAATAATGCCTTTATCTCATATAACAAGAAATTGAGAGTTGGGCAGTTTAGAACAAACTGGTAGGTACGATATTTCAACAAAGACACTGGGGACTTAGGCTTGTCCTATCTTTCTGTTTATTATCCTTAGTCTGGAGTCCTTTGCCCTCTTGCTTCTTGACTCATTGAAACAAAATGGCTACTATAACTCCAGGCCTCATGTCTATGTTTCAGACATAAAGAATAGAAAGGGCTGAAAGGCTGAAAGAAAAAAAACGCACACATAATTTCTCTTAGTGAAGTTTTATCTTTTAACTTGACAAGAAAAATCTTCCTTTGTGGATGTCTGTCTGCAGCTTATTGGCCAGAACCATGATACATGGCCACCTCTTGCTTCAAGGAAAGCTGGTAAATTTTATATTTTAGCTTTTCAGTCTCTACAGTAGTGGAAGGCAAAATATAAGGGAGTGTATTTAGGATTTGTGTTGGCAAGTCAACAGTATCTGCCACGTAGTTTCATAGGATTATTTGAAGGATTCAATGATACAATGTAATTTAAAAAATTAATAGAGTGTAATTTATTTTTTGAATTAGCATGTGTATTTTATTTTATTTTTTTGGATTTTTATTTAAAAACTTTTTTTAATTCAAATATATTTGTCTCCATTTTCCTGCCACAACTTTCCCCTGCCCCACCCACCCCATCCTCCCTCACTCAGTCCTTCCTCATGGAGTATACTTTAAATAAGTATAAACTATATTATTCCTCTTGCCTTCTATTGCTCATCTTAAGAACTTAAGAAGAGTGTAAATTGAATTAATTTATTCTAATTTTGTATTCAAGCCTCAAAAAATCTATGAGATTAGTTACTTGAATATTAAATAATTTCACCTTATTTCCTGCATTCTAGAACTTGGTATAAATATGTTTAGGCATAAATACTGCATTATTTCCAACCAGCTCCCCTTTTTTCACACAAGAATCAATGAGGACCATTCCCACACCTGGCTAATCTTTGATTACCACACATTCTAACCCTCATTGTCATGGGTTGTTATTTATATCTGGGCTTCTGTTTTAGGGCTTTATTTATGGATTTGAAGATTATTTGTCCATAACAATGTTCCAATCTTTATGGTCACATGCCCAATTTTTTTCTTAAATATTGTTGAGCATTGCCTAAAGAGCCAAATCTTTCTACTGGTACAATCAACATGGACATTCACTTTTTTTTCCTCCTTCCAAAGCCATTGGTGTCAACAATGGCAGAGCAGTTACTTTTTACCATTTTCTCCTGAAATCCTTTAGTTTGCTAGGTAAAACTTGAAAGTTTCTAGAGTTGCCATCCAATTGCTGTTGATAATATAATTTGTTTCTATGATAATCAGCTTAATTTGTAAAAATAAACAACTTTAGAGCATGGAAGCTCCCTGGTAATTGGGATGCATTCTAGATGAATGTTTTTGAGGAAGGTTGTTTTCTGGAGAATATCCCTTGAGTGGAAATAATAGGTATGAAAAGTAAAAAAAAATAGTCTATCACTAACGAGAAAATATTGGGAAAGAGGAAGATTTGAAAAGTGACTCGTTCTAATCTTACTTCTTTAGTGACTCACAAAATATGTCTAGATTTAAAGAGTGATTACTAAGTCAGAATGTAGCCAGAGGCATATGAAAAAATAGCAGGAGAAATTCTAAGCAACTACCCCATAGGTCGGCAGTCCTAGTTTGAATTGAGTTGGCTGGTTGGGAGGTAAATTTGAGAACAGGCCAAACATTCTGAATACACATGCTGGAGCTATCACCTTACTTGGTCCTATGGCATGAAGTAGAAGAAATGACCTTCATGCTCACTAGTATTCAGAAAAGGTGTATTATTTTTCCCCATGGAGAATGCTAAAAGATGTTAAGAAAAGGCCCCAGGAGGTAAATAAGTACTAGAAGTGAGTTTAGAAGGGGAATGGAGTAATAAGAATCTTAAATGAGGTCAGAGAGTTAAGAAACAAAAACATCTCCAAAGAATTTGGAAATGACTAGAGAAACTTGCAGGTTGTATCATGAAATTGGAGACCCTTAGCTTTATTACTTCTGAATTTTCAGTCTGATTAAAATACTGGTAGTTTATAAATTGTTATTTGGGGATGAAACAGGACTTGGATGTGTGTATGGTTTTGTTTATTTATTTTTTAAAATTATCTTTTCACTTTTCAATTGTGCTGCCTGCCGTTTTTCTTTCTTATTATAGACATTGTTCGAAGTGATGTTGCCTTAGATAAACAGAAAGGCTGCAAGATTGCCCAGCACCCTGATATTATGCTGGAGCTCCAGCGGGAGAAGGCAGCTCAGATGCATCTGGTTCTTCTAAAGGAACAGTTCTCCAATACTTACAGTAATCTCATATTAACAGGTAAGGCTATTAGAGTCAGCTAGAATCTTAGAGCACCATGGACTGATGGCTTCCATCAGTTAGCAGCGTGATGCTTGGGAGACACTAAAGTGGGAGCCAGATGAGCCCACATCTGTCTGTCTTTACTCACTGTATCTGCCCCCTCCCCCTTTTTAAAAAAAATTGTGATGTGACTCTTGTCTTCCTATAAAAAACATTTCTTGTAGTTTGCAGATGTATTTTGGCTTGAGGTTACAGGCGATTCAGCATGTGTGTTCTTAAAAGACAGAACCAATGAAAACCTAATGAAGCCTTATAAAAACATGACTTTTTAGATGTGTGCCAGTAGATTTGAGAGAATTACTAAATTTGGTGTCTAAGAAGCAGCTATTTTCCTCTTTCTGTGTATGTCCTTTCTATGAACCCAGTGAATATAAAGATGAAATGTAAAAGAGATAATGATCCACAGGCAGAGTTGAGAATGTTCTGTTCGTGGTGGAGTTTGAAAATATCTGGAGAATTGGACTTTCTTTTTAAGGGCAAAGCAGCTATGAGATGGAGCCATTCTTCCTTACATCCTTGGCTCTAGGAAGGAAGTGAATATGTATAAGAACTCAAAGGAGAAACAACTTCTTGCAGGGTTGCTTGCAAACTTTGCTGGTAAAGAACACGTGAGTTGCATGTCTTTGTCAAGCTTTGAAAAAGATTCCAATAGCAAATTCTCATGTGAGAATCATGAAGGGCTTGAGATGAACTAACAAGAGCAGTTCAAGTTACCTCTATTTTCTTGAGGGCATGCAAGGCAGACCTGTGTTATATTGACCCAAATAAACCTTAACAAATCAAAAGTGTGTGTTTTTCCTTGTTTGTGAATATTTAAGAAATATGAAGATGGACTGTCTGACAGGCTATGAACATCTCACACTTATTTTTGTCAAGTCCAAGTTAGGAAAATTTTAACTTGTTTTTTTACAGGCTTCTTGGCATTTTACTGGTATTTCTGAGTGACAACCGAATTGTTTTGCTTTTTAAAAAGCACAAGTGTTTCTCAACTTTTCATTTTGTACCTGGTGGAAAACCCAACAGCATGAGATGAAAGGCAGATATAATGTGGCTTTGGAGAGCAGAAAAGAGGATTATGGATTTCATAAGTATAGGCGCTGTTTTTTGCTCTCTGATAGGTCATTAAAGAGGGAAAACTTAAAAGTGATTTATAGACAATGTATGTATTTCCCTAAATTGGTTAGTGAAACTGTGTTTAAGTTTAGATGTTTGGGAAGAACAGATTTCTCTACCTCAGATGTATACATGTACATATTTTTAGTGCTTTCCAGATCAGTTATTGGAAGTGAAATATTTTTTATTCCATCCTTATTTTAATATCTTAAGCACATATTAGAGAGGTCAGACCCCATATTCTTTAATGTGGCATAGAAAGGGCTTAGGGTAATTCAAACCCTAAACTGTGGACTCAGAGTGTGGCTCAAAGGCATATTATCTTTGAAAACACAAGTGTTCTATTGAGTTCAATGGAATCTTTTCTAATTCTCAGTAACATAATCCCTTTGGATGTTTATTCACAGTTCAAACTGTTGGAATCAACATTGTCAACTTTTACCCTGACAACTTGCTTACTTTCCACTAAACAAACTTACCCTAGTGAAGAGCCTCTTTCCTGCTCTCACTTCTCCCAAGCTGCTTCAAAGGGTCCTCAGGCATTTTCCACATTTTTCACCCAAATGCCTGTGCAGAGGTGGTACCTTGCTGCAGACAGAGCATTTGGTGTGCCCTGGTGTGTTTACATGAAAGTTCAGAAGGTTTTGGTTCCAGGTGTTGGGAAGAGATGGAGTCATTTCAAATTAGCACCAATGGCAAAACTATTTTAATGTCCTTTAACTAAGTCTTTGATTTTATACAGTGTGGTTTTCTAATTGTTATGAAGTCTAATCCTTGATTTCTTGTATAAATTTTGAGAACATGGTCTCCAGACAGCTAAACATAATATTTAAACATAACTAAACTAACTTTTGTAAATATTTCCCTTTTCAGTGATGAATGTATATTGGTAAGGAGGGTGAGGTTGAAGGGGCAGAGACCTCTCAAATGAAGTGACTTTCTTTACCAACATGTTCAGAACACCTACTCTAGGAGCTCTGCTTGGTGATGGTCCACCTATTTTGTGTAACTCTAGCATAATGTTTGAGATATCTGCAGTAAAGTATTTGTGTGGGAACAGGATGAAGAAGCTGGGCCTCCAAAATCTCAGATAGAGATCACTTTTTCACACCTCTGTTCTCCCCTCCACACCTCTCCCAATTATTTTCAGAATTTGATGTATATGGGTAGCAATGTATCATAATTGCTTCCTGATCAGTTAATGGTATATTCTTCATTTAAATTTTTTCTTTTTTAATTTTTTAAATTTAAATACTTTATTGTTTATGCTGTTACAGTGGTCCAAATTTTATCCTCTTTGCTCACCTCCATCCAACCCAACCCCCGACCCCCATATCACTGTCCAAGTCCATGGATCATGCATATATGTTCTTTGACTAATCCCCTCACCTTCTTTCAACCAGTCCCTACCTCTCCCCTCCCCTCTTGCAGCTATTAGCCTGTTCCATGTTTCTATGCTTCTGGTTCTATTTTGCTCATTAATGTATTTTGTTCATTAAATTCTACTTATAAGTGAGATCATGTGGTATTTATCTTTCACCCACTGGCTTATTTCACTTAGCATAATTAGTCTCCAGTTCCATCCATGCTATCGAACAAAGTTTAAGAATTTATTCTTTTTTTACTGCTGTGTAGTATTCCATTGTGTAAATGTACCATAGCTTTTTTTATACACTCATCTCCTGATGGGCATTTAGGCTGTTTCCAAATCTTGGCTATTGTAAATAGGGCTGCTGTGAACATAGGAGTATTCCAGTATTCTTGGGGTATATTCCCAACAGTGGAATGGCTGGGTCAAAAGGCAGTTCCATTTTTAATTTTTTGAGGAAATTCCATACTGTTTTCTACAGTGGCTGCACCAGTCTGCATTCCCACCAACAGTGTACTACTAGGGTTCCCTTTCTCTGCGTCCTTGCCAGCACTTGTTGTGTGTTGATTTATTAATGATGGTCATTCTGACAGGTGTGAGGTGATATCTCATTGTGGTTTTAATTTACATCTCTCTGATGGCTAATGATGTTGAGCATTTTTTACATATGTTTGTGGGCCATCTGTATGCCCTTGGGAGTTTTTTTTTTATTATTGCTTCAGTTTCATTAGTTGTTACCGGTCTATTCATGTTTTCTGCTTCTTTCTGATTTAGTTTTGGAAGATTGTATGTTTCTAGAAATTTATCCATTTAGCCCAGGTTGTCCTATTTCTTGGCATATAGTTGTTCATAGCATTTCCTTACAATCCTTTGTGTTCTGTGGTATCAGTTGTTACTTCTCCTTCATCTCTGATTTTATTTATTTGGGTCCTCCCTCTTTTTTTCTTGATGAATCTGGTTAAAGGTTCATCAATTTTGTTTATCTTTTCAAAGAATCAGCTCCTGGATTTGTTGATCTTGAGAATTGTTTTTTAGTCTCTATGTCATTTATATCTGCTCTGATCTTGATTATTCCCTTCTTCTACTCATTCTGGGCTTTGTTGTTGTCTTTCTAGTTTTTTTAGATGTAGGATTAGAGTGTTTATGTGACATTTTTCTATTTTCTTTAGGTAGGCACATAATGCTATGAACTTCCCTCTCAGGACTGCTTTCACTGTGTCCCATAGGTTTTGGTTGTTGTATGTTCATTTTCATTTGTTCCAGATACTTTTTTATTTCTTCCCTGATCTCATTGTTAAACCCACTCATTATTTAATAGCATGTTATTTAGCCTCCATGAATTTGAATGTTTTTGCATCTTTTATTGAGGTTGATTTCTAGTTTTAAGCCATTGTGATCAGAGAAAATGCTTGATATTTTTTCAATTTTCTTGAATTTGTTAAGACTTATTTTGTGTCCTACTATGTGGTCTGTCATTGAGAATGATCCATGTGCACTGGAGAAGAATATGTATTATGTTGCTTTGGGATGAAGTGTTCTGTAAATATCAATTAAATCCATTCAGTCTACTGTGTCAGTTGTTTCCTTGTTGATTTTTTCCTTAAAGGTAGCTGTTTCTTTGTTGATTTTTTGTCTGGAAGATCTGTCCATTGGTGACAGGGGGTTGTTAAATCCTTTACAATGATTGTATTGCTGTTGATCTCTTCCTTAAAGTCCTCCAAAATTTTTCTTTATATTAGTTTGGATGCTCCTATATTGGGTGCATACATGTTCATAAGGGTAATATCTTCTTGTTGAATTGATCCCTTTTGTATTATGTAGAGACGTTCTTTGTCTCCTACTATGGCCTTTGTTTTGGAGTCTAGTCTGTCAGATGTAAGTATTACTACCCCAGCTTGTTTTCTTTTTTTTTTTTTAATCTCCATTTGCATGGAATATTTTTTTCCATCCCTGTACTTTCAGTCTGTATAAATCTTTGTTCTGAGGTGGTTCTCTTGTAGATAGCATACATATGGGTCATGTTTTCATATCCATTCAGTGATCCTATATCTTTTGATTAGAGATTTAATCTATTTACCTTTAAGGTTATTATTGATAGATACTTAAATCATTGCCACTTTTCTCTTTATTTTAAAATTGGACAACTTAGATCACAGTATAGGAAACAATTAATAAAGTGATTGAAATATCAGTGTAGTAAGAAATTAATTGATTGAAATGTCAGATGGTTAAAAGCATGTTAAAAATATTGGTTATTGCCCTCCATGTCACAAGCAAGCCCTCATTCTTACATGCTTCATCTTTATATGATGTGACTACCAGCAATGAGGTGAGATGCATGCCTTCATATTCTGCATTTCTGCTCATGATCTCTCTTAAACAGGCATCCATCAGATGAGGGTAGATGATATTCTAGCTTTGAGGGTCTTCTGACCATTTATTAAAGGAAACAACTATAATACTAGTGACAGCTCAG